TGTAGATCTATATATAGATGGATCTTTGAACTTGTATCAGCATAAATCATTAGCTGATGAAAAGGTTTAAGCACTCTTCCAGCTCATCTATATGTTGCATTGTGCATCATCTTTGTTCCAATGCCTCCTACTGTCCCCATTAAAGAAAAAGGGAATTGCCCAAGTGCTGATCAATATTTGGTGATTCAAGTGGTATCCAAAATAGTTTAGGTGAGGGATCAGCTAATGCACCAACTTGGTCAAAGCTTTGAATAGATCAGATAGTATGACAAGTTATGTATGGGTTAGGAATTGGAATGATGTCACAAGTAGTGGGAAAGAAAACTTAGCACCAAAGAGAACCTTGAGATGCTTATCATGGATTAGGAAATGTTGACCACCACCATTTTTATTTCCTGCAGATCAACAGCCATACCCAAGTCAAATGTTTAGGACACTGCGCTTCTGTGTAAACTTGAGACAACTCTACTACTCTTCTATGCATGTCTTGTTTCGCTTCTCGCATTCTTTTTCTGTGTAGTTAAAAGCTTTGTAAGTACATCCATAGCAAGCATTGAATTCAGCCGTGGCATCAAGTTTTGTTGTTGCGTACGTATGAGGCATCAGAAGAGGCTCGAAAAGAAACGAGATCACAATTCTTTAATTATGGTTCTGACCAATCTATAGTCTTCTTATAAAAAAGATTTGACATTCCTCAATTGCTCCCATGACTTCATGATTTGTGTAAATCACATAATTAAAGAATATTTGACCCTTTCATAAACAAAGGGTGATCGGTAGTTCTAAAAGTTTAAGATGATCAATATACAGAATCCTAGTTGGAGCAGTAAAGAAGCAAATTAGGATGCAGGCATGCATGCATGCAAGCATGCGTCCGTGGGTTTCCTAACGACATACAACTCCCCGTTAAGTATACAAAGACGAGTTGAGGCTAATGACGGCATCCATCATGTCCGCAAACCGAGCGAGAGCATGGTTTTGCGGTCAGCTCTCTATCATACTGTGTACGTGCTTGGACAAGAAGCAGGATGCAGAAGGAAGATGGAGCAATTCAAACGATGGCGTGTGATAACATGAAGAATCTTTCAGCAGCATTCATGGCTAATTTCTTGAAGCATTACGAACTTGCGAGGCTTCTTCTCTTGCTTGCTAGGACTTGCCATCTCTTTATTTATAATTCTCAGTCCGGAGGTCGGCAAACAAGTCATTTTGTCTTCGTTCTTATGTGGAGGGGAGAGAGAGAGAGAGAGAGAGAGAGAGCGCGCCTTTGTCTTATCAGCCACGCATGGAGTTGGATTAACTCGGAAAATACGCAATAGTTTTCAGAAAAGAAACCTTAATAGTCTTAGAGAATGAGCGATAATATATATTTAGCATGAATTTGTTAGAGAAATTCATGCTTATGTAGAGGTTTTTATCATAATTTTATTAAAATAATGAGAATAGGGATTCAAGTATGAAATATATTGGTTTCTAAGATGAAAATTTCTACATAAAGTGTATATAAATATTACCTATTTTTTATTTAATTTATTTTGTATTAAAATGTTAATTAAAAATAATATTATGTATTATTACGTCAAAAAAATACTCACTCATTGATTCAAATCTGAGATTTGTAAAATAATACACTGATCAACTCGAATGTCTCAATAGAATTAATATTATTTATTTTACATATCACTAGAATCACATTAACTTTGATTAATATTTAAATATTTTATTGATCTTTTTTTATTTTTTTTATTAATATATAATTAATATTATTGTGTTATGTTTTATTATATTTTAAATACTTATATTTATTAATATAAAAATAGTCTTTATTATTAAACTTATAATATATAATATTAATTTGAACCGGTTTGTATTGATAGATTAAATCGATTCAACTGGAGGAAGAAAGGGGAAATTCTCTTTAAAAATAAAAGAAAAAGTGTTCAATTTATCTATTCGATATATTTTAAGAAATAGGTTTTTAAAATTATATTAAATCACTATGCTTACTCGAACCTATCATCAATTCCAATTCCATATTATGAGGCCACTTTCATCAACAAGAAAAGGAAAGCAATATAATAAAAGAATTAAATAGAAAGTCGATCTATACGATATATGCTTATATATATGAGCTCACATACAAAGCTTTGCTTCTCCCGTTAACGCGATGGACTCGCTTCCTCCTCAGCCCCCTACCAATTCATCTTCTGTATCCCTCAGCGTGAGTCTGATCATAATCGCCGCCATCATTGTCTTCGTCGTGCTCGCCTCCTTCTTCATCCACCTTTTCCTTCGCTTCCTCTCCTGCCGCCGCGGCTCCTCTGTCGCCGCCTTGCCGTTGCCGCTCGACCGTTCCCGATCAGCCTCCTCCTCAGCCGCCGCCGCCGCCGCCAACTTTGTACCCTTCGACCAGGAGAAGGCCAACTCGCTCCCTGTCTACTCACTAGCCGCCAGCCCCAAGTCCTCGCCGGACTGCGCCGTCTGCCTCTCCCCTCTCCGCCGCCACGACGAGCTCCGTCTCCTGCCTGCCTGTCGCCACGCCTTCCACTCCTCCTGCGTCGACCCCTGGCTCCAGACCACTCCTTCTTGCCCCCTTTGCCGCGCTTCCGTTTCCCTTCCCGCCTCCCTACTTCCAGCGCTGCCGTCGGCGGTGCCGCCACTCTCCGACGAACCTGACTCCTCGAGATTAGGCAGCTTCCGGATCGAGATAGGAAGCGTCAGCCGCCGGATGACACCGTCGGGGGAGTTATCGGGAAATCCTTCGCCACTGCCAGCTCCGCTTCCGTCGTCCCTGAGGACGTACTCGATAGGGTCGTCGTTCGAGTACCTGGTGGACGAGGAGGTGGAGGCGGTGGTGGCGAGGATCACGCGACGGACGGAGAAGGTGGAGAAGCGGGGGGATACCAACACCAGCACCGAAGCCGATGCGGCTACGGCGCCACCGGGGGATGCGGTGGCCGAGGCTGCGGGGGGAGGGCCAAGGCTGCTGAAGGAGTACGTCGATCAGCTGTCCTCCTCGGCGTCCTCATCCTTCTCGTCTCTACGCTTCTCCAACCGCTGGAGCCACCGTTACGACGGCGACGGGGTACGGAACTCATGGGATTTGGAGCGTTCCGCGTGGCAAGAGGTGGAGGAGAGTGGCCTACATGACTTCTTCCATTGGCTGATGGGCGCATAGTGCCCTTCGTTCGACATCATCGCACTACATTTACCGGAATACCCAACGCTTCCTTCGCGACCATTACCATCCCGGCAGCAATTCTCCATCCATCTCCCGGATCGGACGGCCAAGAGCTGACATCTCGTGGTGAGACCCACACTTGTTTCATAAAACAAAGCGGAAGTGATTTCCTCGGAAACGTTTCCGGATCGAGCTGAAATTAATTAGCAGTAACGTGTGGTACATTGGATTCTTAGCGTTTGTTTGTCTTTGGTTGGAGTTGGTGACGAGGGGAAGGAGGCAATAGCAGCTGCACCGCTGCCATGAATACCTGCTTCATTGCACGGCCACCTGCACCCCATTTTAAGTTGAACACGTATGTTCATGTCTGTGTGCGTTGATGGTGCAGGTGGAGGAGTTGTTCCCTCTCTTTCTCTCTGTATGATTTCCACTGTGACAAAAGAAAAAGATTGTAAATATTTGAAACTATCATGTACTGCTGTTGCATAAAAATACATACATGTTTCATGTGTTGTTAACAATGCTGTATACATTGAATTGTACACTAACACATATTTGGATGGTCATATAACCCAGAGAATATATGCTTTGAAAGCGTGCGTGGCTTTCTTGTAGTCAAGTCAAGCCACAAAACTAAAACCGGACGTGATAAGCATTGACGTACGCCAACACGGCGAATACGTGTACAACATCATTTCCTCTCAATTGCCGATCCCTCTGCCGTATCTTGTTATTGACTCGAGTATTTGATACACACCTAAAAACCACAAGTCAAGTCGTCGTCGGGGTCTTCCTTCTACTGTATAATATGGACACAAGGCGACAAGATCTTATCCATTTTTCTGACAACAGACAGTAGAGACACCATGTGGATTCCCTCAATCTATTGGCTGATTGGTCTTGATAAGTCGAGTTTATATCGTTGAATACTTTCATCTGGAGTGAAGCTAAATTATACACAAATACATGGCCAACCATGTATGGCCTTCAACGTTTGTCTCTCCTTTCTCTGGGTTTCACAGCTCAAACCTTCTCGATATTTAAGGGGGAAGTACAACTAGCAGTCAAAATTATAATGTTGTCTGGAATTTACAGGTCCTTTGGAAACTTGACTTGGCATAATAACCATACGCAGTGAGTGTTCTCCTACAGCTAAGAATGATCAAGCTACAAGTGGTTCATAAACATGAGAATTTTAGATATACAACACGCTCATATATAGAGTTGCACCTTTATTTCTCAAAAGGATTGTCTAAGAAGCCAGGAGCATTGAGATGGCTTCTGTTTTTGGCTCATCAACTTGTTTTAGCCAAGCAGGTAAGACTTGGAAGCAAGTAATCCCTGACCCAAGAACTGGTGAGCTTATTTGAGCTGCCAAGGATTCTGTTGAGAGTGGATGAAGATCTAAAGCCCATCTCCTTCCTGTGAGGGTTGATAAGGCTGTTGAAGGACCGTCACTGCCTTCCAGACATTTTCTACTCCTATGGCAATTGTTGACGGGCAGATAGATTGGTGTCATGCCTGTGCAGTATGGTGCAAGCGTGTCAAGATTAGTATTGTCAAGCTTTCAGCTTTATAGGTTACGAAGAGATGGGTCTTGTGTTGCTTAATGTGATGCCCAAGGTGCTATAAGATGGTTCATAACCATTGCATGTTGGAGGTCTTAACTCGGTTCTCTACAATGTCAGTCGGGTTCCATTTTGAAGAACAAGAAGACAAGCACAACTGCTAAGAAACTTTTGTCTACCAATTCGTCAACAGATTTGTAATTTATCTGGATCAGCAAAGAGAACTATTTCAACGGATTAATGCGTGTTATCATTAGGCAAAATCGATGTAAAACACATCTTAATCCGTATCGATCTTTACTGAGAAACATGTTCTGGCAACCATCGGTTGTTAGAATTAAAGATGTTTATGAACCAGTGGCGTTGTGAAATACTACATCAACATACCTAATTAGTCTGTGAAGTTAATTCAACCATTGTAGCCTGGACTGGTTTATCTTCTTGTTTCAGCAGGTTTCGAAGGATGAGTTTGAGGTGATTCTATATGTTGAAAGATTTGGAATCTCCTCACTGTAATCCCCTTCTTTGTTTCTTCTTGGATTCAGTTTTTATTTGTCTGCTCTTTCTTCCCTATATCTTCCTTTCTCCCAGTACAATGTTTATGTTGATGATATTTATACTTCTTGAGAAGAAGATTTTGAATAGAAACCTGCTGCTTGTGGTATAATGTTCATGATACTAAATATAAATCACAGACTACTACTTGATGGCTCCACGCCAAATAATATAGATAAATGATAAGGCAATCTTCTCTAATATTGACCACTTACATGTTGTCAACCTCGTGGCCAGTATTGAGCCATTGTCTTCTTTTTATTTCTTTCAATAATCCAACAAAAAATTCCTTGCATTTAATATGCCTATACTGTATGTAAAATGAAATTTTCAAATGCGATTGTTCAAAATAAAGTCTCCTTTTAAGCAATTTTGATCAGCAAATAAGAAGATAGATTGCTCTAAAGCAAATTCCTGAGAATTTAAGCCTACTTTTAATTTACAGAGATAGAATATATTGTGTTCAGAGTATCAAGAATTTTATTAATATTTTCTTAACGTAAATGCAAAATATTTATTTTCCTGTATGGAAATTGGTAATGGCAGACTGTCTAATTTGTGGTATTTTTGGGGGCAAAACCGTCATCTTAACCTGCCGAGTTCCGTCGGTTTCCGCGACGTGTCGGGCCACATCACCGGCCCCCCGGCAGACGCGTGCCGGCGGTGGCGATGCGGGCCTAACGCGGTCCTTGGGAGCTCGCCGGAAAAGCCGAACTCCGCCACCCGAGACCGCCTCCTGCTGGAGCTCGCCGCCGCCAGCGGGCTGAGACACATGGCGAAACCGGCGAGGCCGCTTCCGCGGTGATGGTGGTGCTCCGCGGTGGCCCACGTCATCGAGGACCGATGTGGACGCCACGGCGGCTCGGCGTCGTACCCGCCGCGGGATCTCTCCGGCGAGATGCCCCAGTCCCGTCCCGGCTCGGCGGCGTCGTCCGCGACGGACATGCACGAGGTCATCTTCCTCCGACGGCCATGCAGGAGTGCCGAGAGCCAAGAGCTGGATCGCTGAGGCTTCCTTTCCAGGTTCCCATGTCTGCGGCGGCCGAAGAGGGCGGAGAGGAAGGAGGCCCGCCGGGAGCCGCCAGCGGCAGAGCGGGGGACGTAAGGGGAGACGGAGCGTGGGAAGAGGAGAGGAGGAGGCGACGGGGTTTGTGTGGAGGCCTTCCGGTCATCCGGTGATGGGGCGGTCGCGGCGTCGAGGGCGAGGAGGCGCTCGCGGAGGCAAGGGGCGCAGACGCCGACGCCGTTCTCTAACGGGTGCCGCGTGCACTTCATCTCCGTCTCGTCTCCGTCATCCAACAGAAGAAGAAGAAGAGATCGAATGGAATACGAGCTGCTGATGCTGTGTGGTGGTTCAAATCGACGTGTTATGATGGCTTCGCTGCTGCTGCTACTACGCTAATTGGATTATATTTATTTGGAACCAAAGGAAAAAAAAGGGTTTGAATTGTTCGCTGGGGAAGAAGCAAACGATTTGGCATCAAGTCAAGGCAACAAAATCGGACTTTTTCCTCTTTCGATGAGTTCGATCCGAAGCTTCACAGCTTGACTGACTTCAAATTTGGAGTAATGTCAGGTATCAAGCTTCTCAACTTGACCACTTCAGCCCCCATCTCTGTGAATTCTGCACACATCACGCGGAAAATAGAATGAAAATATAGGAAATATATTTATATATCTGATCGAGTAAGGAGTATTTCCATATCGGTCTTGAAATTTTGGGCCTTTGATATATTTAAACAGCGATGAGTCAAGGATCTATAATTAAATCCAGTCGAAGAAAGAGACAAATAGGAATATAATATGATTGTTTCACTCGAATTTGATCTTTTTGTCCTCTTATGCTGCTGTCAAACCCAACTGGTCGAACGGATGAATTGTTCCCGTTGTTTCACCAAAAGGATCGACTTATCTCACGACCTAAACATACTTAAATCGAGTTTGACAGTAAACAAGGAGTGTGGGGGGGTTAATACTGCTTATGTGAATCACACAAACATATCAGAAGAAAAGCCAATCATGCAGAGCCTGCCATCGACGTAAGTCTCACGGATCGAGATGAACACGGTTGACGAAGTTTGCTTTTACTTCCCTGAGATTGGCTCGACTTCTGGGATGGCACATGAGGAGCTGACGAAGACGAAGCCTTGGAAGGCACACAGAAGAGTCGCCGTTGATTTCGGAGCTGCATAACAGATGCGCTACTGAGGGCATGACTTCCAAACTGCGATCCAGTCTTTGGTGCTCCAAATTTCCATGGCGACTTGTATCAGCTATGCTGTCGGACGTGTAAGAGACGAGAATACAGCATCTCAGAGCTTTGTAATACAGGTAGTTGTGTACATTAATCCTCCTCGATTCTCTAGAACACCAAATCGTTCTTTCTTCAAGGAAAAACACAGATTTGGCAAGAAAGACTTGGACCTATATGATTTGTTGGGAGAGATTCCATCGAGATGATGTTTTACTTGTAACCACTATGCGAAACACAGACTTCCATCGAAAAAAAGAAAAAACATAAATGGTAGCATGAAAAATCCACCTGTTCATGTTGATGTATATGGTTTTTGTGTTCGTTCGCGGAAAATCGAGGACGAATCACAACCAGAAGAAGTCTAAGCTTCATCAACCTTCACCGAGTCGAGGTCTGTTCGCTCTCCTTCTTGCCAACTTCTTGGAAATGCATATCGAAGCTGAGAATTTTCCAGGAGATCGACTGCATTGTTGTCTTTAGCAGAGCAGCACTGTGGACCAAATATTTGAAGAAAATAAAAGAACAATACCGATGAAACCTGCAATGACATAACCAAATAACCATCATCAGACTGAGGGCAAGATTCTAGCTATGTAGATTGTTGGGGATGGAGGAGTAAGGAAAAAACAGAATAATGCAAGTAAAAGGAAGTCTTTCGACTTAAGAAAACTGGGGATGGAGGAGTAAGGAAAAAATAGAATAATGTAAGTAAAAGGAAGCCTTGATTGATAAGAACACTTACAAGATACCAAATGCACACAGACTCTTATAACTACTAGATTGAGGTAGTTGTTAAAACCACCTTATAACTACTAGATCATGATTAAGGTGATTATTGAAAACATTCTGTAACCATTGGGGATGGAGAAGTAAAGAAAAAACAGAATAATGCAAGTAAAAGGAAGCCTTGATTGATAAGAATACTTACAAGATACCAAACTCTTATAACTACTAGATTGAGGTAGTTGTTAAAACCACCTTATAATTACTAGATCATGATTGAGGTAGTTATTGAAAACATCCTGTAACCACTAAATCATGATAACTATCTAGATAGATAACTATGAATCAAATCTTAACACTCCCCCTCGATGTTTATGCTTTCGAACTGGAAGCGATTTGGTGAGGATATCGTAACTTGTTCATCTGTTCCACAATACTTCATTGTTATGGCTCCACTTGCTACAAGATCTCTTTTGATCATCTAAAGCTCCTGCATAATCACTATCAGTGAAACCAAATAATTTACATTTAAATTTTGTTTTGAACACCCATTTTAACCTAATCGCTTTCTTTTCTTTCAGTAGATCCATTAGCTCCCAAGTTTCATTCTTCTCAATTGACTTGATTTCCTCCTTCATTGCTTTTCTCCATTCTTCTTTTTTAACTGCTTCCTCAAAGGTTGTTGGATCCGAAATAAACAAAGCAAATGTTGAGTTATAAATTTTTGTTAATGATCTGAAATTTCTTGGAGGGGTTTCATCTGAGGAATCCGAATTTGAACTGCTATTGGGTGAGGTTGACGATGAACTTGTTGGAGCAAGATCTGTCACTTGATTCTACGGAGTGTCTAGTTCTACTGGAATCTGCATTTGTGTTTCACCTTTATTAGTCTCCCAATTTCAACTTGTCCTTTCATCAAACATAATATTTCTGTTAATAATAACTTTGCTACTAACAGAGTTATATAATCGATATGCTTTCGATTGTAAAGAATAATCAATTAAAATATATTTTTTAGATTTTTCATCAAGCTTGTAATGATTTTGTGAATTCACCAAAGCATAAGCAATATAACCAAAAAATTCTTAGATGTCTAACACTTGATTTCATACCATATCAAGTCTCAAAAGAAATTCGATTCATAACAGCTTTTGTTGGTGAAATATTCAACAAATAAACTGTTGTTGCAATTGCTTCTGCCCAAAACTAATTTGGAAGATGTTTTCTTTTAAGCAAACTTCTTGCCATTTCAACGACAGTCCGATTCTTACGTTCAGCTACACCATTTTGCTCCAGTGTATATGGCACTGTCAACTCTTTGTGAATACCATTTTCTTCATAAAAAAAACTAATATACACTGTCAACTCTTTGTGAATACCATTTTCTTCATAAAAAAAACTAAACTCATTAGATAAAAATTCACTACCTCTATCTGTCTGAAGTGTCTTTATATATCTACCACTTTGCCTTTCTACAAGTGCCTTAAACTTTCAAAAATTATCAAATGTTTCAGATTTTAATTTCAAAAAATATATCCAACTCATGCGACTATAATCATATGTAAACAATAAAAAATATTGACTTCCACCAAATAATTTTGTATTCATAGGTCCACATAAGTCAGAATTAATTCAAGACAATTGGATGCTTTCCATGCTTTTCCAATAGGAAATGAGTTTTTACTTTGTTCGTCATAAATACATCATTCACATATATCAAATGTATTAATCTTGGGCAATCCAAAAACCATTCCTTTTTGACTTAACAACCTTAAACATTTAATGTTAAGGTGTCCATATCTTAAATGTCATAAACTAGACTCATTCTTTTGAGTTGTGATAAGCATATGTCTTTCAATATTTGACACATCAAGTGGAAACATCTTGTTTTGTGTCATGCAAACATTTACTATAATCAAACCAGATTTTTTATCTCTAATAGTGCATGAACCATCATCAAATATTACTGAATATTCATCATCTACTAATTGTCCACACTCAACAAGTTATGTGATAAAGTAGGAACAAAGAAAACATTATCAAGGTATTTTACCATCCCTTAATTTGTCTTCACCTCAATTATTCCTTTCCCTTCCACTTGGATTTGCTTGTTATCTCCAAATCTAACATTCCACTTGTGAGTCTCATCAATATCTCTAAATATTAATTTTATGCCTGATATATGATTAGAGCATCCACTATCCAGAAACCAAATATCATTTGAGATATTATGAACTTATGAATGAGTCATAAACAACTTACTATTTTCTTTATTTTTCTCCATATAGCTTGCTTGCTTTTCTCTTTTCCAGCAATCTAATTTGATTGCCCTTGTTCATCATGCCGATCAAAGTGTCCTCTTCCTCTTCCATTTCCTCTACCACAAAATCCTCCTTTGCCACGTCCTCTTTCTATTGATTTTTTATCTTCTTTTGAAGTAGAAGACTCTCTCTTAACCTGAAATGCTTTTTCTTCACTTTTTTCAAGTGACATGTTCAGTCTTACTTCATGTGCTTGCAAGGAACTCATTAGTTTATTAAATGAATAAGTAGATAAATCTTTTGACTCCTCAATTGTGGCAACAATATGATCAAATTTCAGAGTTAAATTTCTCAAAACTTTTGTAACAATTATATGATCAGGAAAATGTTCACCACAAGATTTTATTTGACTAACAATTTCAGTCACTCGAGAAAGAAAATCTTGCACCGATTCATTGCTTTTCATGAACAAAATTTCAAACTCACGATGAAGGGTTTGAAGTTTTACCATAATCACCCTTGATGAGTCTTGAAATTCATTTTAAAGTATCAACCAAGCTTGCTTTGAGGTTGTCACTACTACAATTCTTGAGAAGATCATCTTATGTACATCTTGTTGAATGAAGAATAATGCCTTTGAGTTCTTCTTTCTATTCTCCCTCAGCCTGATTTCGTCATCTGGATCTGCATATCCATTCTCTATTAAGTCCCAAAGATCTTGAGACTTGAATAGAGTCTTCATCTTGATACTCCAAAATTCTAGCTTTTGCCCGAGAAGATGGGAATAAGGAGTTAGACATGAAATTATCGTTAAAAGTCATAATACCTAGTTCAGATTGAAACTAAGCTCTAATACCACAAATATTGGGGATGGAGGAGCAAGGAAAAAACAGAATACTACGATGCAAATAAAAAGAAGTCTTTTGATTTAAGAAAACTGATGTAATATTAAAAACAGGATGATTAATAAGAACACTTACAAGATACCAAATGCATACAAACTCTTTCTATCTTACTTGTTTCATGAACTACGATCCTATTTATAAGGCCTAGTGATAACCACCCTATAACTACTATATTGAGGTAGTTATTGAAACCATCATATAACTACTAGATCATGATTGAGGTGATTATTGAAATCATCATGTAACCACTAAATTATGATAACTATCTAGATAGATAACTATGAATCAAATCTCAACATACATCTCATCCAGCGCAACAGTCCATCGCATAGCTCAGATAACAGTTGCTACATGAAGTGGATCGAGTACTTCATATATTCTTAATATGTATGGTGGATTTTGATTGAGGTTGGGGTTTCTCTGCCTTGAGATTTCTGCCCGTAAGAAGAGCTTTGCATAATAGCATCAATCTCAGTTGCAGCTGCAGATCGGTGAACATTTGTTTGGTAATTGATAACCCACATTTACCAAGCTCTCCGCCACAACCGATATACTGTTAGACATTTACTGGTATTCATCGTGCCTCCACAACCTATATCTTTATTTCTTTCACATCCTGTTCTGTCACTGTACCATTAAATCATGTTTTGGTGATGATTTAATGATCAATGTTTGTCGATGTGCAATTCGTAACCGACTCATGTTTATTAGAACATCCATTGGACTGAAATGGCTACAGATTCCGGTGCTTTCTTTCTCCAGCCATTTTATACATCGAAATAAAGGCCGGAGAGGTCTTTGCAAAGAAAAGCCACCACCAATTGGATGCTCTCACCATCCGTGGGGCCCTTTTCGCTTTCACTGGGTCACCACGCGCGTGGAAAAAATGAGGTAGCTGTACCTCGTCAATGGGTTCCGGATTCTGCGGCGCCGAGTCGACTCGAACCGGCGTGAGCAAACCATCGTCTGAGGCAAGGGACGGTGCTATTGACTACCCCGAAATCTACCATCCGCATGATTGGTAAGAGAATGTGGGCTCAGATAAATAATCCAGAAACGCGTAGGATCAGCGTTGCCCCTACCATTCGTCAATGTCATCGCCCATGACCTAAGGGCGGTATCGTAATTTGATGCGGTAACAGAGGGCAGTTGAAAGGCGGCCGGTCGGGGGGGATGGGTCTTAAGAAGACAACCACCCACCGCATCAACAAGGGGAGGAAGGAAGATAGGCAGCAATATTATTATATACAAGAGGCGCAGAAGCGAAGAGGACGAAGAAGGGATCGTCGACAGGTGGGATTGTGGATCGCGTGGAGGATAGGAAAAGGGGAAGAACGAAAGATCAAGAAAGGAATCCATCCATCGATCTATATATCCGTCGTTGATGGCAGAGACGAGATGAGAACAGGGGAAAGAAAAGGAGGAAGAGAAACAGATCGAAAGGGAGGAAGGCAGCTCCGATCCACATCTTTAGATCCAGGTATTGAAACCTAGTTTCTGATCTCTGTGCGCTTTCTTTAGGTTGTTTTGCAACTCGAGTCTGCCCTCCGGAGAGGGGATTAAGATGGCCAAGTGGCGTGGATCTGCCGGGTTTCGGTTCTTGGATGGTCTCCTTCGCTTTCCGGAACAGAGTTTTGGGTTCTTGGTCACAGGGGAGGACAAAGATGTGGTATCTGGGTTTGGGTCGTGGATCTTGCCGGTCGGATTATGCAATCTGCCCGTTGCCGATTTCTTCTTTAGGGCCCTGGCATGGGCTTGGATCTGCTTGTCTTCGACGTCGCCCTCTTCTTTAGGGATGTACAAGGGACAAAACGGAGGGACAAGGGCTGTATATTTCGATGATCGGCCGAGACTGGTGCATCTTTTTCTGAGGTTTCATATGGTGTTGATTGACACAGGGTTGGAGAATTTCTGCCAAGTTTTTTTATTCTTGTGCCTTCTCGTTGCCGTACACCCCCACAATCTACCTCTCGCCTAACTCTTTTAGGTCTTGACTTTGGCCTGGATCTGCTATCTGCATCATCGTCCTCTTATTTACGGCTGGCCCAACTCAGAGAGCCGGCTATATCTCCGTCGGTCAGCTGAGGTTGGCTTGTTGTCGGACTGCCTGTTCACAGGGTTGAAGAATTCCTTCAAGAATCTTTGATTTTTGTTGCTTCTTCCAGCAGATTGTTTCTCTAAGACATATCCTCTCCTTTCCAAGGCAAACTATGTCTTTTTTGGTTCTGCTCGTCTTGATCCAGATAGTCTGTGCTGCTTATGGACTTCTGGTCGTTTGGGCTTTGGAATTGTTGGTCACTTTTTCCCGTGAGCGGTCATTTGCATCCTGTTCTTGCAGATAGTGGTTTATGTGATCTGGAATATCTTAATTTGGATGTTAGCCAAGATTTACTTGTTTAACGAGGACATCTTTTGGAGGACGATGGTGGTAGGCAATATACTTGTTCGAGCAGAATAATCATTGTTGATGATCTAGTAGAGATTGGACTAAAATAAAGAATGGGATAGCTGTGCTACCTTCTCTTGTGCCAATTGTCTCAAACTGTTGTGCAGGAGCCATACTAGACTTTACGTATTGTTGTTTGCATTGCTTGAAGATCTTAGATTGGTGCACTGATAATTTCTCTGAAGGTATTTATTACCTTCGAACTGGAACAGGAGGTCCAATAGACTGTTAGCATGATACTCTCAAGCAGTCATTCTCAACCCTTTGGCTTTTGTGCCATAGAATTTTTCTTTTGGTTGGACAGATCGTACCATCCGAAAGGTTGCCCTGAGTTCTATAGGTTCTAACACACGTATGATTTTTTTTTCTCTCGAAAACTGTCTGCAGTTGCTCTGGATCTGCAAGTTGATTGGTCAATCTATTCTTGATTGTTCTAGAAAAAAATATGAGGACTACTGAGTCGGTGATTGGTTTTATCACTTTGTCCACTCAACTTGGGCATCTTATTCTTAAAAATCATTTGATGTTTCTGATGTAGTCAAAAGTGTTTTGGTTCTCAGGATGAGGGTTCTGTCTCTTGTTGTCTGTAATCTTCTGAAACATATAGACTCAATATAAGAATCATTGGGAAATGCTTCTCAGTACAATTCCTATCTAAAAAATTGATGTTTACCTTGCAGATTCAACTGTGTACTTGTTCTGGAGGTCTCATTTCAGACGTTGAAACCATCAAGGATCGGAATCCTGCAAGAATTTTGGTGGCACATCTTCAGTTGATGATTGTGGATCTTGTCAGGGAACATGCTGCATGACATAGGGCTTGAAATTTCTGGAGCTAGAGATCCTAACTTGAACTGGATGACAGCTGCTAAGGGCAGGCAGTGGGCTGTCAGACGAGCTAGAACTTCATTTGCTGAGGGAAGAAGGAAGAAGTCTGTGGTCAAAAGTTCCAAAGGGAGTGAGGTTACTATGGATAAGGACACCAGGAGAACAAAAGACATCCCTGTTTCTGATTCTGAGAAGGTTTGCCTGCGTAGCTTTTTAGTGTCACTCTAGAGTACCACTTTTTGCCGGAGCTCTTTATTTTGGATTAGTAACAATTTCATTTTCCGGTTGCAGGTCGGTGTAAGTATTCTTGGCCAACACTTTAGTGAATCCCTCGAAATTGTTCCCATAAAGAAAAGGAGATTTCTGTTTGTTAGTTCTCCATCATCGCCACTGCAATCTTCTTATTCAGATGATTCCGATCACCTGTTAGAAAGCCAGCCTGCTTCATACCAGGAGCCTTTAGCATATAACAAACATCATGAAAGGAGATTTATTGCTAGCAAAAGAACTAGTTTGAATGATGTAATTGAAGAGGCCACTGATGCTGCAGATTTCTCTGGTATTTCGATATTGGCCACTGCTGCCTGCAACAGTGAAGTGGTGGCTGACGCTATACATTCTGGAAGATTAGTTTCAAAAGGAAATTCTTCTAGAGAAGACCATTTGGAAGACACTGATGGTGATGAATCATATTCCTCATGTAAAGATTTGCAAGAAAACCATAATGTCTCTATGGAAAATTGTCTTACCTTCGTTCCTGCTGAAGATGATACGAAGTGTGATGGTTTGCAGAATCAAAAGAACTTCATGGGGTCCCTGCAAAATGTTTCAGATAAAATAAAGTCTTCCACTGGTTCAAGGCTTCACTGGGACCTTAACACTGAAATGGATGCATGGAATAACAATTTTGATGATGTAATTTCCGAGCCACTGGCCACTGACCTTGTAGCTGAAAATGGTAACTCAAATGAGAAGCTGGAAGGCTCAAAATCTTGTGAATGCCAGGTAGAGAATGGAGAAAAATCATGCCCTACAGAACTTGGTGAAAGCTTAATGGAGACAGCTGGCATTGCAAGGGATCACTGTGCTTTTGTAGCTGATGAGATATTGGAAAAGCCTGATTTATGTAATGGGCTTTCAGCTTCCAATTATGAGAAAGCAAAGCATTGTCATAGTTTGATTGAAGCGGAGCATGACTTGGATGCTACTGCTGTTTCTTTGGTGAACTTTACTGAAGAAGCAAAGCTCATACACAACCAAGGGAACAACATCTTCATTAATGATAAAGCAAAGGGTGATGCGAGTTCTCGGCTTGAGGGAGAAACTGAACCAATGCTTTCTCATTTGCCTTTTTGTGAGAATGTTGTTGGTGACTGTAATACCCATGCATGTAAATTCGATCCAAACATGGCCCAATCAATCAGTAAACCTGTCAGAGATGAAAATGGAAGTGTTGATGCATCTAATGCTGATAACAGCTTTGATGATCATTGCCCGGCTAATGCAGGACAGTCTATTCACATAACCAGCACTCAGATTGAGAAGCATGGACTTCTGAATATTGTAGAAAATGATAATCAGTCTCCTATCCTTGCTGAGAAAGCTACTAGCTTATTGTTTGATGGAGATATAGGCAGGAATTTGGTGGTAGCACGTGGCACATCTGGTGAAACTGTACATTCTGATGGCTTAGATATTACCAATGGCAACTGTGCTGATAAATCTTCTGGAACACTGTGCATGAGCCCTTCCCTGTCAAATGCTCATCAACACAAGAGCCCAGGGTCATGTGATCCTAACGAGCTGACTTCTGAGGCCACATGTGCTGCTAAATATGAAGAGACGGCAACAAATATGAAGGTTGATGATAACAATGGTTTTGGTGCCAAGGCCTCTGTTCCTGTTTCAGCTGTTGTATCTATGGCCGAAACTGATGCCAGCTTGGTAGATGGTGCTGTGGACACTCAAGAGGCAGAAAAAAACATGGATAGCTCTGTAAATTCGCATTGTGACCATAAATCAGATGCATCTCAAGTTGATAGTGTCCAAGTCACTGGCCTGGAAAAAGACAACCTTCTGGGAGATGATGATTCTCAATTTGAGGATGGTGAATTGAGAGAAACTGTTCTGCATGACTGGGGAGATGGAATTGATGAAGGGGAATCTGAACATGTGGATTATGGATCCGAGTCCGACAACAGAGAGAATGATACCTTTGAAGCAGATTCTGCATTACCTGCTTCTACTTCTTTCTCTTCTGAGGATGTGGCATGCAAAGAGAGCAATATGTCAGATGCTGATGGACCACCTACTGGCAAGGATAGTCAGGTTGCTCTTTCTCAACCCCCATCGAAGTGCTCATCCAAATCAGATGGTTCAGATGCAGTACAAGGGAAGAAAACCATTGGGGTTATTGGTGCAACAGATCACGTAAATCATTTGACATTAACAAGGAAAAGAAAGCAAAGAAATGTTACTGATGCATTGGCATCAGTTCCTGGTAGTGATAAGCCAGTGAGATACAATGGATGTCACAATGAAGGTGATAGCACAAGGGAACCTTCAACATGTGAGAGAACAAAGTTGTCAGGATGGGATCGGTTGCCTGGAGGCCGTCGGAATACCGGAGATAGCTTTTTGGACCCTCGTATTGGTTCTGCTAAACAAGATGAGACTGCCAGTTCCTTAGATGTGTTTGGTGATGATGAATCATCAGTAAGATCTGGCTCCTCATTCAGGGAAGGGTTATCATCTCAGGTTGAGAGGCCAAACTACTCAGATGAGTCATATAGGAAGGACAAATTTTATCCCAGATTAAGCAGGTAATATTATCGTGAGCTTGTCTTTGGGTATATTAACCTTACAAACTTTATAATCATGTCTGGTAATTGCATTTGTTCTGATATCTTCAGGTCGAAGAATCATGATAGTCTAGATGCAAAAGCTGAAAAGAATGCTGGTGCTTCTAAATCATCAGGGTGGGGTGGATCATTCCGGGATACCCAAGGGAGGGGCAGGGATAAACATTGGTTTGATCCTTCCAATCGCCATGGTAACAGGCATCATGATTCACCAGGCTACTATGACACACCCAGTTTTGCTCGACCTGCTTCAAGGAATGCAGCTGCAGCTGCCATTGCCAAGGTAGAGAGTAATGGCTTTGTTGTTGCACCTGATGGTACCTTAGTTAAGGCAGGTGGTGCTGGAACTTCTGGCTGTGTGATCAGACAATCTGCGAATGCTTCTTTGCAAAGTGCACATCCTTCTCTTTCCAGATGGGGGTCACAGCCTGAGAGAGATCTGGCATGTGGTATGCAGAGAAGACATAAAAATTCAAGGGAGATGAGTCCTGATAGGCACTTCATTGTTAGTAGGGGCCAGGTTGATAAACATGCTATTGAAATGGTCAGGGATCGGCATTGCAGACGTCGGCCAGATGACATGATAGAATCGTCCACAGCAGCGGACCATTTATCAACAAGAGATCGAAGTTTCTCACCATGCAGAGGGCATATTCATCTATCTCATTCACGCACCAGATCTTCAAGATCTAGAACCCGCTCCCCTCTTCGTTGGGCATCGCCAAGGAGAAGAAATGACATTGGCATGAATGATGTCCCTGTTTCTCGCAGACGCAGCAGGTCTCCGATAGCTAGAATGGAGAGGATGAGGTCACCCCACCCACAACCTACTTTTGAGGAACGCATGATAACTTACGGTTCAGCATCCAGGACCTTTGCTTCATCGTTACATGCTTCGAGATGGATTGATGAAAGGAAGGATTCATCCAATCATCCAAAGGAACATGAGTACAAGCGATATTCTGGAAGAAGCTCACCTGTGAAGGTGTTTAGAAATCATAGGTTGGATTCCATGGATTCACAAGGAAGACCAAAGCCTGATGATTACTATCATCATCTTCACTCTAGCAGCAACCCAGAATTTGATGGTTTTGGCAGGGGATACAAGTCTGAGGATAGTAATAATAGAAGACGGGGCGGCGGTAGTAAATATGAAGTGCTTCATTCTATGAGGCAGTACAACATTGATAAGAATGAGAAGCGCTTCAGGTAAGATGTGTTGAGGTATGCAGGTTCATGATTCTGGGCACAGACCCGCAGGGTTTCAGCATAGAGGGAGCCCAAGAGAACCTTGCAGACCTAGATAAGCGATGGAAACAATTGGAGGGCAAATGCTGATACCAGTTTCGTGTCATATGGTATCCAAAGGTTCAAAGACTGTAAAGCATATACATACTTTGGTCTGCTGCTTTTGTGGGATAACTAAAGAGACTGAACCCATTAATACTTCATTTTTTTTTAGTGAAGCGGTGTCGAGGAATGCTGTCTCATATTTATACCTTGTAAAGAAGGTTGGTTACATTTTATGTTGAAAGTTAGATTTTTGAGCGGGGGATGCCCTCCCTTTTATAATCCCACTGCGACATAACTGATTACTGAAATTTCATTCTGTGCCCATCGATGGTTAGCCTACATTTTGAATGTAGTGACAAATACCAATTGAAGTTTTGAACCTGTCTTCTATGGAAATGTGCCACTGGCTTTTTTTGCATTGTTCTTGAACTTGAGGGCTGTTTGAAGGTTGTCGGAGGAAACTTTATGTGATTGTGACTCTCGGACAAGGGACTTTTGTTTTGTTTTGTTTTTTTCTTCTACTAAATTTGTTTTATAGGGTATTTCATGTGTGGGGCATATACCTTCATCATCCAAATTGCCTATGTTATAATTTCAGGAAACCTTCGTCCACAAGTGAGCGTGATGTTGCGTTAGACTCCAAAAGGTGAATGCTTCTTTCCCTCGGTGACATGGTAAGTATGAGTCAGCACTAATTATATCAATTAGTTGGGAAGTCAAGTCGTCGGTTGTGAGCGCTCTTCCGACAAGTCAGTTGTATTGTACATTCGCCATCCGTTCTTGTTTCTTGGTTATAATATAGCATCATTAATGCAACAATGTCCATCGTGTATGCCGACGCCGACCGTGTGGATTTAAGGCCTCGTGCTGATGCCGCAAAGGAACATGAATTGTTTCACCAAAGAAATATGAATCTGACAGGGAACAAAAGCAACAGAGCAACAACCATTTCTACGTGTCACATAACTGTGACACGTTAAATTTCTTTCTACCTTGCAACAACTTTCAACTTCTTTCTGAACATACCAGAGGCAGTATTTTATAATTTTAAAATATAATGATGGATGTGAAGGCAGACAAAACAGAACCCAACCAATGGCAACAGTAACAACAGCAGTAGCAACGACACCCAGCTATCAACAATCAGTTGATCATCAGACAGCAACAATTGAGGATCAAATGGAATGGCTTTCGAATCGACACCTTCTATTTGGGATAGCCAGCAGGAGGATACGAACCAGGTGGAGGATAACCATATGGTTGCCCATAAGCAGGCTGAGGGGCATACCCAACAGGAGGTGGGATAGGCTGATCGATGCGAGACATCTGCTGGAATGGAGGCACTGCCATAACTGGCAGTGGTCCAAACTTACCATCTCTCTTGTCCATCTCTATCTTGTGTTGTGTCTGCAACCACACCAATAAATTTTGTTTGGTGACACTGCCTGATAGGGCAAGGGGGAAATGTAATTGAGATATTTCTGGAGTTTAGTACCTGCATGCATGCACAGACCCTGCAAAGAAAATTGCAAGTGAATGGATGAGATATTTGACATCACTTAACCCTGAACTAAAAAGCATGAGGGAAGGAACTTTGGCCTTACGTCCAGTATACGATGTCAGACATACAGGATAGTATCTGGGAAGCCTCCTGAATCTCCCCACTTCCAACAATCATTGCAACAATCGAAAAGATGCAAGCAACTTGTTGTAGACAAAACATGAATCCCTGCAGTTAATTCCACAGAACAAAGCACAAGTTAAGATAGTAATATCCGACTTATGCATAAATATCCAGTGATGGGCCTGAAACAGGCCTCGTTACACCGAATAGCTGAAGAGCCTCATGGGCTGGCTGGCTGGCTACCAGTCATTGGTAGAGCTAGATGGAGTAGGTAGAGGAAAGAGCCACAGAGATAAAGGGATTACGATAATGCAGTTATCGCATTGAGTTGTCTGTATGTTGAACTCATCTTGGAGAAGGAAGCGAGTTGAAGCAACAGAATTTCCAAAGCACAAGAAGACCTGGAGAGTAAAATACTTGAGCGCATTTTAAATCAAGTATCACGTAAGTAACAGATAATTGCTATGAAGATACTTATTAGCAAAAAATTTTGCTATGGAAAGAAAATACAGTATAATTACTTTTGGTTCCCTCTCAAGGAACATATAGATGAACTAGCCTAAGATGCAAATGAAACTAAATCACTAAATCTTATCATATTGTCTGACATATTAAGTCCTTAGGTATGTCACACATATATTGAACGAGATATAATTATCGATTACATGCACCAGATCAGAAGTACTGTGAAGTGAAAAGTGCATAATTGAAGAAGGCCAGGTTTCAAATTTCTGCAAAGTTATGGCTAAAGCATAACAAATTGATTTAAATATCTAAGTATAACAAATTGATTTAAATATCTAAGTTGAGAAAAAGGGAACGGTAACATAGCGTGTCAAATGAATCAAAATGCACCAAAATCTAATACATCAATGGTAAATTAGTATAAACATAGGCAGGGTATTTTAACTTAAAGAATTAGAAATAAAGGACAGTTTCAATTAAGTAAAGAGAAAAGAGGTTCGAATGTACCACATTCGCAAGTCTAGATCAAGAACAAAGCTGAAATGTCATTAAGTAAAGATATAAAATAACTAAATTTAGAAAATCACAACAATTGAATGAGGCAAGTAAAATATATTTAACCGTTATGGTCGACAAAGAATATTTGACGCACTGGAGGAAAAAGCAAGCGGACACTCCACAAACTACTAAAGATATGGAAAAAACCTTTAGAGATTCCTTACTTTTATCGAGTCCTGAAACAACACTTCATTCTGAATTCATCATGTTGACTTGGAAAGTATTATCAACAGATTATTGAAAGTGACAAAAAGATACACTTTGCTAGTGAAGCAAGTGAGACAGATCACTTATCAGTTATATTCTTTTGCCCAGTTTGGACTAGGTTCCAACTAAAATTTTAAATTGAGTTACAATGGAGGACAAGCATTGGCACCAGAATAAGGATATTCCTTTTAACAACTTCAGTTTTAAGAGTTTGAATCAGGAAATAACTTGCATCGACCTAAGACTTTGCATTGGCAAGAGCTTCATGCACAGAATGCTGTCCTTTTTTTCCCTTTTTTTTACTGACGTTTCATTCAGTAACCAAGGTGTTGGATCAGTCCATGAGGCTCATGAGTAACGTAGTGTATGTTAGCGCTAATGAATGCTGCCAGCATAGTTTATATCCCTCGTCATGGGAAAATATACAATATATTGAAGTATCAAGTTAACCATTTCACTACCTCAGTGCAAAGGCAGAACTCTGGGCATCGACTTTCTCCGCATTTTCCACTACACGGTATATAACCTGCACAACAGACGTACCTGTAAAAGAAAGAAATGTAAACTAAAATTAGTTCTTAAAGTTTGCCAACCAAAATAGTAAAATATTTGAACTGAAATTACCTTGACATGTCATTGTAAAGAGCTCTTTTGCGGAGCATGTAGGAGACACAAGGTCCACTAATAACAGGAAATAGATGCATCAGAAAATAACAATAGTTTCATATTGTAAAATTAATATATGAAAATGACACTAATATTCAATTTGAATGCCATTATTTTACAAAAACAAAAAGCAATAGAGACAAATGTATAGTCATCTGACACATGCAAAATTATTATGATAAATGTGTAATGGTGTGATCATCTCATTTCCTTGATCATAAACAAGCTTACATCAAAAGAATCTAGATTTTGTCAAGAATTCACCATCTTTTGTTGTGGGACAGATGAGCTGACAAACAGATCACACACAAATACTACAATGACAAGCCAAACATGGAAATTCATCACTTTCATCCGTACAGTTCATCTCATACCTCAGATGTTTAAGAATTCTCAACCATCTTGAAAAGGGAAAATCAAATCTAATAATTTCTCATTGCAGCACAAGTTTTACAAATAACTTAGCAGTTATTAACTTATTATATACAAAATGATACTTAAAAAATCATCAACATGTGATTAGTTGCAAGAACAAGCCTAGTTGGGCATGCCATTAGTTCCAAAAGATTTGTCATTGAGTTAAATTGAACAATATCCAGCATCAGTGGCATTGTTCAAAAGATTTGTACCCAGAAAATAGTGTCTATGCCTGGATTTCATCTATACTGTAGACTACTTCCCTTTTCCTCTCCTAATTTGTAAAAAGAACTTTCAAGATATCATATCTCCTAATTTGCCTATGCACTTTACTAACTTGCTTAATGATACTTCATCAACTTTCACCATATTATTATTGGTTTCTAGTCAAAAGACTAGCTCATACCACCAGTTTGCCCTTAGTTACATGCATTATTAAAATGAATCATGCATCTGAATATGTGCAGTATTAAGGGATGAATATGAATATGTAAAAAGGAATTTAAGAATCTACAAAAATGATATTGGGGTTATATTTGTTTGAAGGATGTCAAACATGAGGCACATATGGAAGCACTAAAATTCTAAAATGATATATATCTACATTTAGACCTATTAGGAAATGCAAGTTTTGTTTGCTTTCAGAGGGTAAAGATGAATATAAGCAGCGTCTGAACTAAAACAGAACCAGAAGTTCTCTAATATGTAAAGAGTTGAGGAAGAAGACTCATTTATGTTCTGTTACATTATGTAGCAACATTTTTCTCACCAATTTCTCTAGGTCAACTCTATATAGTGAGTTTCTTGATTTCTTAATATTATTCTTTCTATTTTTGTTAGTTTAATGTTTGTTTACTTTGTGCTTTTACTTATTTCGGCCCAGATGCTGATCAAACAAACTGCTCCAGCCTGGTCTTAATGTAAAGTTACATGATTCATCCTCAAGCCAATCCCCTATTTTAGAAGTGTGATTTTAAGATGGTAAAAAGAGGTTGTCCAGCAGAGATGTGCGACCATACCATGTGCTCTATTAAATGTCATTTCACCAACAAAGATAAGGTCAAGTATCCACCAGTGACTTCCTCCTCTTTCAAGACATGCTCAGTACATGATAAGATAAATATTGGTTACAGACAAGAGTCCATGCAAGCTCATGAACAAAATTGGCTCAGCAATGGTGCTTTTACCATTAACTGAACTCTCCATGGGAATCTTGTGCACAAGAGCACAAGTAAATCTCCAAAGTGACCATGAGTACAGCTTCAAAGATTGGATCCTAGGCAAAAGCATATGAAGTTCTTTTAGAGGAAGAATATTTTAATGTTATTACCGTTAATTTAGGAAGTATATTCAGAGAAACAAAAGCAAATTCCAGAACTTTTTTTATCAAGTTTCTACTGAACTATCTGTCTCCTATATTAGGTCAAAGAATTCCACATAGACCATTTTTAAGAAGGTAGTTCAAGTTGAGGCAAGAATGAGCAGGATATCGATTTTCTTCAAAAATGAGATGCAAATTTACCTTACCATTTATCTCATCTTCTTCTCTCCACCATTATAGTCCATTTTTTAAAATTTTCTATATCCTTCTTCTCTGTGGTGTCATATCTTTGCCCTTTTGCTATATTATGTATCATGTTTTAAACAAGACTGAGGTGTTTTCTTTTTTCTTAACATTTTTGATATAACCTTCAGATAGTGGAATTACATTAACATGCAGTCACCATGATACCAAAGCACGTCGAAGATTAATTAAATATTCAGAACTACATTTTGGTAATTCTAATGAAAGGAAAAGATCATTTCAGCTTCAACCTCACTTCTCACAGAATACCACATAGTTATTTTGCACATAAGTTATTCATGAATACTTCTAGAAAAACCCAAGTTGCATTACTGCCACAAATGTTTTCTTGCTCCTAAGTAGATGCCGAACTGTGCAGCTAGAAAAATTTAGAGAAAAGTAAATTAGTTGGAACTATGAAGTTAACTTTGATGTTTTTCCGACTTTGGGAGGAAAGTAAATCCCCTGATGTGAGATGATACTTTACCTAAACAATATGATAAAACAAGTACAATAGAAAGATAAAAGCCCTCCTGATAGTTAGCATTACATAACAAAAAGGTACCAACTGAAGGACATAACTGGAAGTGGCCATCATTTAGGGAAGCCTACGAATGTCAGTTTTACACAGAAATAACAGTACTAATGTCATTAATTTAAGGCATAAGATGGAGAAGGACATGAATACGTTCCTTCAAGCCAAGACACTTAAACAAAGCATCTTCAATTTCACAGTGAAGGCGCCACCAACTACGAAATCTTAATGTATTCTCGCATTATATTTTCCCCACCCTTCGAGATACAATGTAATCTCTCTGTAATAATCGATCTTTCCATTAGATCTTAAGTATACGTGAGAAGATTCGTGAAAAAGAACACACAAAAATTAAGATCGTCCGCCATCCTCCGATTTAGGGCACATCAAGATTCCAGTTACCAATGGCTAAACGCATGAGGTGAGCAAGAAAGTACGATGGCAAGAAAATAACCGGCATTGGATCTATTCGCAACATGGGGGTCAAATTAAAGGCGAATCGGAGGGGTTGAAAAGCCGAGCGCTTACCACCAAAGCGCGAGACAGCAAACTGCGACGCGGATCGAGACATATCCGTCAGAGATCTTGAAAGGTAACAAGAAATCAAAGACGAAAAGGGGCAAAGGGAGGAATCTTACAGGGGAAGTCGGCTTGGATGGTGCTTATGAGATCGGTGTGCCAAAGGTTCCGGTAGCTCTGCCGTAGCTGCATCTTGTCGAGGTACTCCTGCGACGCCATGGCCGCTCGCCGATCGAAGACGGGAACCTGGCGACAGATCGAGGAGGAGGAGGAAGCAGGCGGCGATCGAGATCTTCGTCCGCGAGTAGAAGCGACGACCGTGACCGCGTCTAGACGACGACTGAGGAGGTCAACAAGACTCGTCTCTCACCCAGGTCTTCGATCTACGTTCCCATCATCCGATGGACCCCACGCGGGACCCGCATACTCGAGTGCTGCATCAATGACATGGCAGGTAGGTGGCCGTGTAATCGAAACAGAGTGTGAAATCATTTCGAAATACTTAATAGCTACGTTGCTTTGGGGAATCCACGGTGGAAAGAAACGGAGAGAAGAAAGAGAAATAATGATTTAATCTCAAGGCCACTTTCATGAATTCAAGAATTGCCAAACAATAAAATATTATATAAACAGAATTAAGTAAGAAAATAAATATATTTACACATTAAATGTTTAATTCATAATAATGACGAATTCTACTTAATTAAGAGGGGCATGTATCTTACAATAAATTCTATATGCGATCGCAAACTCTTCGCATGCAGGAGGGACAGGGGAGGCAGATGCAGTCCGAAGATTAATAGATGCCATACGACTAAGACAGATGTTTAATCCATTACGACATTGTAGTTGACTTTGTAGCAGATTTTGACGTGGGCACTTTGGGCACACGATATTGACGGCCATATGCAGCGTATATGGTCTCATGTAAGCTCCTGTCCATCATATCTTCGGGTCTACATTATCTTCTCCTTGATGGATCAACCTAACCTCAACTTTGCTATCATCTGATTCATGATATATATATATGGAAGGAAACTCACCCTATGAATAAAGAGAGCTACTAAGTCCATACAGGGCATCTCAAGTCATCATCATGCAAACACAGTTTGTCCAGATCAGAGAGAATGGGAGAGAGAGAGAGAGAGAGAGAGAGAGAGAGATGTACAATGACAGGGCTATGGCTGAGCCAAGCGCAGGGCTATGCGCATGTAGCAGTCGGCGTGATGCACAGTGAGATTGACTGCATGTAACGAGGGGATGGTAGCTGACATAGATATCTATCCACGCCATGGCGTCGCCTGGATGTACAAGTGAAGCCTCTCGCAAAGCTCGTACGAGAATGACGGCACCAATCTCACGGAGCTATACCTGAAAACTTACAAAAACAATTTGATGAGCATTCCTCTAGTGTATACTCTGTTCTACATCTTCATTATTCGTTTGCTTGAATGTGGATCAGAGAAGCGAATGGAAGTGGTGGGGGGGGAGAGAGAAAAGACAGACGGTGACATTGCCAAACACAGTTGGATTGTTATACTTGGAGACGGAGAAGACAAAGAGTTAGAGGTCGCCCTCACACCCAGTTACCCACTACGATGGGCAGTGCGCTTCTCGGAGACCAGTCCTTTCACCAAAAATATCATCGCGTTCTTCTTGCAGCAGCCCTCCTGTTCCTGAAATCTTATCTTATCTGCTTTGGAACTAATGGCTCATGCATTCCAACCTTATCCATTTAGTTCCTTCTTTCTCGGATACGGGAAATTCCTGCTAACAAAGAAGCAAAGAGAAGGTGAGGTTTGTTAAAGGGAATGAGCAACAGTAATTGTTGATAGGCGAAATCGATCTACTTTCAAGGTTTACTTCTCTGCTTTTAGACCTAAAGAGGAGGCGCAAGCAGCAATTACGTTCTTAATGCGGTGGCCTCAACCCCTAGCTTGTCGGTGATGAGGTGCCAGCAGACTACCTGTAGCTGGGTCACGTATTCTCGGTTACTGGATGGAGAGAGGAACAGTAAATGCTCCACAGGATTCTAACCGGTTGATGTCAGGAGCATATCGATGTGCGTGAAACAAGGATGATGTTTTGTGAGGTTAAGGTTGCGATGATGTTAGCTCGAGCGAGGACAAGAATGACGGGAGTCAAGGTTGGCGCCACAACCGATAGAACCTACGAGTACTTGAGCTGCACAACGGACGGCGAGATGACTCATCTGGACAAGATAATGAACCTGTTCCACGCGACACGTAGCAGCGCCCTCGGTTTCTACCGCTCCTTTATTTCCTCGTCTTCCGGAGGGGGCGATCACCTCCACCTCCAGACTTAACCTGCTCGAATCAAAATACTTCACTCCCTCCCTCGCGCTGTATCGTCGTCAAATCCAAGAAGCAGAGAGAAAAGGACAGCGAAGGGGACAAGAAATGTGATGGGAGTGGTACATGATAATGATATTAGCAGATGTAAGTTCATTACAAGATCTTTAGGATGCTAAGCACTTGGACCCGATGAGAGATCACAAGAGAAAAAGGAAGAGAGAAAGTGATAGCCAACAGTAACTCGTGCCCTTTCGCTGTCACCTACAAAATTCTCCCAGCGGCTGCAGCCCTCGCCATTATTATATTCCCTTCTCCTCGCCAAGAGCAACACAAACCGCACCGGAGAAGGAAGGTTTGGAGAGAGGGGAAGCAGATAGGAGTGGTAGTCGTATAAGGGAAGGATATGGGGAGGGGACGAGTTGAGCTGAAGAGGATCGAGAACAAGATCAACCGGCAGGTGACCTTCTCCAAGAGGAGGAATGGGCTGCTCAAGAAGGCGTACGAGCTGTCCGTCCTCTGCGACGCCGAGGTCGCGCTCATCATCTTCTCCAGCCGTGGCAAGCTCTACGAGTTCGGCAGCGTTGGGTAATCAAACCCACCAACTCCCTCACTCTCCCAGCATACATCAACCTTTTTCTTTGTGATCTGCTCCAAATCATGGATCTGCGCTGGATCTACGACGTGCTTATAGTACTTGTCTAGGTCGATTCTGAAACCTGAGGTTTGGATCCCTTGCCATTTATATGCTAAGGAAGAGAGTAAAAAGTAGTGCGCCTCACTTGCTACTTCATGTCTTTCGCCATTTTGTTAGGGTTAATGATTGATCCCTTTGAACGTTCACTTCCATTGTTTATAGTATCACCTACCGTTGCTTTCTTGGCCGACTATGCTTCTACAGTCCCACCGAGATCTCGAATCTCTAAAAAACCCTAATCTTAAGATGCTTTAAGTAGATCACAAGACAAAACAACTCCTTCTTTCTATCTTTGTCTACAGACCTTCTGACTCCTCTCGTTTCAGCTTGCTTCTGTTTTTTCTCTATAGATCTGTGTTTCTGCAGACATTCTGGTGTCGAATCTTCGTTTACTTGACGTGCGATGGGTTTAGTCCTCACAGATCTCTTCTCTTTCTTAAGATACCTTGTTCTTTTGTCTGTTCTTAATCATCTTTCTTAAGATACCATGAAATGTATTATCTCCTTTCTCCACAAAACAGCAAAAAGACTTCTTCCGATCTGCTATAGATAAACTTTACTAGACAGGAGATGGCATAAACCAAACAATCTGTTCAATTTAGTGAAAAGAAAGGCTGAAAAGATCATCCATCAAGGTGTAAAATCTTAATTATCTTTCCAGAACTTGAGCAAGAAGACAACCAAGCATGTTTCTGTACACATGTAGCCTCAGTTTTGGACCTTCTTATCTATTTTAGGCATGCAGGTTCATTTAAAGGTAAAAAAGGTTCCGATCGAGTATTCTATTCGGTGCAATTGAAAGTTGACTTGCATTATTTCTTCGATTCTTTCTGATAGATTTTGACACTGAAAAAGCATTAGGGATACTTTGTCACAGATAAAACAGATGCTACTTTCTTTTGGTTGGACATTTTGGATAGATTTACTCCATAAATAAGATGATATTACTTGAAATTTGATGTGGCATATGTTTGGATAAAATGATGCAAACTTTGATCACGTCAAATGGCATTGGATCGAGAACAGCTTTCATGTGCATTAGATCATAAAACTATTAGGGTTGTGTTATATTAAAATATTATTAATCAATACTTATGATCAAAGTTTACTCAAAACCTACAGCTGGGTTCAAGGTTTTCTACCAATCACTCGCATATCATAACTCGACATACCGATCTAGTCGATTGGAGGGTAAATATTATGTTGCATAGGCTTCTTGATCTCCTCCAATTTCAAATATGTGCACTAATCATCTAGGATTTCACTTCTCAAGATGAAATCTAATTCATCCTTAACTGGCAAGCAGTTATAGATGACATTTAAGAATTGTTTTTACTTGAAACACTTGAAGGAACCCTTTTATGTCCAAAATATGGTTCTTATATGCATCAATCAAAAGTACTTGTAAGGTTAGATGATAAGAATGCATGGTCAAAGTAATTATACCATTTATCTTAGATCTTTTCTTTTGTAAGGCTATCATGAAATCAACTTCACATATGCGACTATAATCATATACTAATGACACTTTTCATTTGTGACTTATCTTTAGAACTCAGATATGAAGTACTAATGAATTGCTTCTATCATAGAATGAGCAAAACATTGGAGCGATATCAACATTGGTGTTATGCATCCCAAGATCCTAATGTAGTTAATCGCGACAATGCTCAGGTCTGTGTTCTTTCGACTGTCTCACATCCATTTGATCAAGCTTTTTATGATTTGTTCTTCTCTTGCACTGCTTAGTTGTAAGAAAAGATAATTGTGCTTCTGCTATTTCTTTTTTCTCTGAGTTGAATACAATTTGTTTGGCATCTCTCAGATATCACTTGGAAATAAATCTAATGGGTCAAGTTTTAGAGAAGATGCTCCATTTGAATTTCTTTGGAGTTAAAATTATTTATAAACCCAGATGCTAAATTAATATTTTTACCATTGCTTACAGATAAAACTCTTGTGATCAGTCGGAAATGACATGATCGTTTTTCTTATATATATTCAGTCGATATTTGTGGTCCGTAAATTCTCATAGTATGATATCATGCAAGTGTTCATGGTGCACTGTTTATTAAATTGACACAATGTAGGATATTAAGACTAAGGTTTGCCTTCATATCGATAGCATTTTTATACATACCAAGATAAGAGAAGGCACACTTCTTTCACCTTGTCAACAAATCATTATGCTTACACTCAGGAAAATATTATACGCCAATGGTCAAAAGATATATGTAAGGCTTAAGTGGTAATGTGGAGTTGTTGCTCCTTTTTTCTTGTTTTGAGATGTCTAATCTTTCTTATAACCTTTATCCGTGGCCGTGGCTTTACACTGACATCACA